ATACCATCACAGAAACTTTATTGGGGAGTTCTACTCTGTCCTATAGGATTGCTATGAGTCAGAATCAATCTGAAGGCAATAGGTTTGGTTTTGTATATGGTCTATCCTGGGGAATGTTTCATGTACAATTGAGAAAAATATGTATTCTGCTGTTGCTGGGTTAAATGTTCTATACATGTCTGTTAGGTCTAGTTATAATGTTAAGTCTCCTATTTCTCTGTTAATCTGTCTAGTTGTTTATCCATTAATGAAAGTGGGGTAGTGCAGTCTCCAACTGTCATTGTAACCAGTTGCTGTTGAGCCTATTCTGACTCATGGCAACCCCATGTGTCAGTGTAGAACCGTAGTTCATATGGTTTTCATTGGCTGATTTTTCAGAAGTAGACTGACAGGTCTTTCTTCCCAGATGTCTCCGAGTGGACTCGAAACTCTAACCTTTCAGTTAGCAGTCGAAGGTCTTAACCATTTTTTACCACCAAGCGATTCCAACTATCACTGTAGAAATGTCTATTTTTCACTTCAATTCTGTCAGTTTTTGTTTCATGTATTTTGGAACTCTGGTGTTAGGTACATGTATATGTTTATAAAATACGGTGCCTGGTAAATTAGTTTCTTCTCCTGTTACTGTTGTCAAAAATGAAATTGATCCGGGAAGCCTGTTAAGTGGGATGTTGCAATAGAGCTGTCAAGACCAGAAATGTCTACTAAAGAGGAAATGTGTGGGAGTTCTGCCTACCATCATCATAACTACTTTTCTTTTCTACTACTCTCTAGAAACCAGCTTACTTGGATTATTCTATTTGACTTTCCATTACTTGTCAAAAAACATATTGGAATCATCAATTTAATGTTTTGTTTTATTCATTCATTCATTCCATAAATATTTATTGAGCATCTAGGTGCCAGGTACTGTTCTAATAAGAAATAATCAACAACAAAAAAATCTCTTCCCTAATGAAGCTTACATCCTTGTTGTTCTAAACTTGTTCTTGTTTGTTTATTATTTAATATTTTTAAAACTGCTTTTATTTGTTATGTTATTTAATCCCTTTTTAGCAGTTTGGTACACTAGCTAAACCAATAAATGTTAGATAATTCCCATTTACCATTGCTGTCTTATCTTTTAGAGACAGAAAGAAAATAATAAGACACTAAACATTAAAAAGCATTAAAATCTCAAAAGTGATTTTAATTGGGAACTCTAGCAGGTGAAATTTTTAGCTGTTTCTTTCCTTTCCTTCCCAGCCTCATCCACCCACTGACACTCTCTCCCCCAGTTTTTTCTCTGATTTCTTTATTTTGATTCGTTTCTTTTTTTACATTTGAACATGAAAAAAATTTAACCATATACTAAAGCAAACAGACTACTAAAACGAACCCTCATGCCCTCATGTCTCATCAACAGTAATTAACTCATGGCTATTCTTACTTTTTTTTGGGTATTCTTACTTTCTTTTTTCCCTCCCCTTCAAATTATTTTTAAACAGATTCCAGACATCATATAATTTCACCTATAAATATTTCACTATTTTTATCTAAACGAAAAGACTTATTTTTTACACATGGCCACAATCACTACTAAATAAATTCTTCAATATCATCAAATGTCTAGTCAGTGTTCCCAATTCCCCAATTGTCTCTTATTTAATAACTGTATGGTCCTTTTATAGTCTTTTAATTAATAGTTTCCTGCTTTAACTCCCTCTTTTTGGCGCCTCACCCCATGCATTTTACTTTTTGAAGAAATTAGGTCATTGAAGAACAGTTTGGATTTTCCTGAATGCATCCCTTCATGGTTATTTAGTATGTTCCTCTGTCCAATCTATTCTCTCTCTGTTTGAGATATTAGCAGCCATTGATGATTATTTCCTAGATCCATCAGTTCATCAGGGATTTCAAATTCTCTTTCATTCCTTCTTTGTTTACTAGCTGTAATACTCCTATAAAAGAAATTTTATCTTATCAACTATTTGGTTACTCTGAGGTATAGATTGTACAGGAAAGGCAAGAAAATACTGTATTCTTTCCCTTATAGTACTCAAAATATTGAGATGGTGGTTCTTTATCAGATTCTAAAAGTAATTAATCAGTACTTATTTGTATCAGTGTGAACTCTGTTGCAATTAATTTTCTTGTTGATGCTCATGTTACTCCATCTCTGTTAGGGGAACTCTATTCAAGTTGTCTCCTAAATCTTTTTAACACAAACCTAGTAGCCTTGGTAACTTCTATATTTCTAGTATCACGAGTTATACTGAGTTTGTCCTATATATTCCCTGCCCTGAAATCAGCCATTTCACTAAGAAGTCCTAGTTCATTTTAGTGGTAAATAGTATTTAGAGACCAAGATCTGGGTGCTAAGGTGTGCTTATTTCTATAGGCCTGATTCTTTATTGGCCTGGTCTTGAAAACATGTATCAAAAAGCCCCATGCTTTCTCTCCCTAGTCTAACATGTTTGACTTATACTGAATTACAGACTTATAATTGTTGTTGTTGTTAGGTGCCATCAAGTTGGTTCCGACTCATAGTGACCCTATAGGACAGAGAACTGCCCTATAGGGTTTCCAAGGAGTGGTTGGTGGATTTGAACTGCCAACTTTTGGTTAGCAGTGGAGCTCTTAACCACTATACCACCAGGGCTCCAACTTAGAAACCCTTAAAAACATGGCTTAAATTAAGGGTCTTTATAGCAGTTCTGTCTACCTGTAAAGGTATTTATTTACCTGCTACTTCACTATTGTACAGAATGGCTGTTCTAAAGAATACTTACTTTGGGAGCCTCTATTCTCCATAAGAGAAGAGAACAGTATTATACAGTCTTCCCATTCCACTAATCCCCACAGTCTTTGCAAAACTTTAGAAGGTCCAGAGTTAAAATTAATTTTTTTATTCTCATAGTGCCATTTAAAAAAATATAATAAGGTAAACTAAATTTGGAAAGAACTGTAGATTGAGATTTTTAGAACAAATGTAAGTGTTCTTATTTGTAGAAAAGTGCAGGCATTCAGAGATGAACACAAAGGGGGTGGGGACAGAGCTGTAAAGGAGGAGAGTTTTTATATACTATTGAAACTAAGTTGGTATTTAATTCAAACTCGACTGTTAGAAAAGCAAGATGTTAACTGTAATCTTCAGGGTAATCACTAAGGAAAAAACTAAAAAATATACCGAAAAAGAAATGAGAAGGGAATCAAAATGGCACACTACAAAAGGTTAATGATAAAAGAGGAACAAAAAAGATGTAAGACATATAGAAAACAAATAGCAAAATGGCAGAAGCGCTTCCTTGTTAGTAATTACTTTAAACATAAATGGATTAAACTTCCCAATTAAAAGGCAGAGATGGGCAGAATGGGTAAAGAAACATGATCCAACTATATGCTGTCTACAAGAGACTAACTTGAGTTCCAAAGACACAAACAGGTTGAAAATAAAAGGACAGAGAAAAGATATTCCATGCAAATAGTAACCAAAAGAGAGCTGGGGTAGCTATGCTAGTATCAGACAAAATGGACTTTAAAATTGCTATAAGAAACAAAGGACATTAAGTATTGATCAAAAGGGTCAATCCATCAATGAGATATAACAATTATCCTTTTTGCCTACACTACATTACTTAATCAACACAACAACCCACTGAAGTCAATAGTCTATCTATATCTAAAAGAAGGAAACAAACTTGGCCAAATTAGATCAAGTAATACCTGTATTTGAACTCAAGAGAGTCTCTATGTCTTAATTCTTTCCACTTCACCACACTTATTTAGCAAGGAAACACCCTAGAAAAAATGCTTGGGAGAGAAATATAAGAATTCTATTTTCTCTTTGCTTCACACGTACTCCTGTTGAAAAGGATTAAATTCACTGGGACTAGAGTATGTAAAAGTTGCCACTATCTCAAAATATCTTGGTATTGGAGAAGATGGACAGCATTCAGTCAAATCCTTCACATTTTTTTAACTCTTTCATGTACAAATTATCTTTTTTTTTTTTAATACCATGCGTTTTCATTAATGGAAGGCATGCTGAATCAAGGAGCATTTCTGAAATTTTGTTATGAAATATAGATTTTGATACATAATATGTGGGGCACATATGTCCCTCAGGACTCTGCATCACCTTCTAAATTCCTTGACAGGTGCATACAATATATGGCACCTGAAAATGGGGTATTCACACGAACATGGAATCATCGCAAGAAACACAACTTCCAAATAATACACAGGAACACGGAAATATACTTACAAGGCTTATCTTGCTGTACAAAAGCCAAAAGAGACAAAAGTTTTACACAATAACACCTCGAGGATGCAACACCTCATACAATACCCTGTCAAAACAGTAATTTGTAGCACATGCCCATTTCTTCCCATTTCTAACAGTTATACAGGTCCCCACCCGGTGGCAGCATGCACTAAAAATGGGAAAGCAACTTCCCAAGAAACATGAGAGGCAGAAAATGTAGGTGGGCAAACATACATTCCACTACTTAGGCTAATGTTTTTTAAACTACAGGTTGGCAAATGTATCAATCAGCAGGATGTTTCAAAAATTACTGCTCCAATAGCTTAAGAAATAAAGGCATAGCTGCATGTAATTTAAAAAAATATTTAAATTGTCAATATCTCTGGGCTTAAGAAATTTCCAGGTTCTAGAAGAATTAAATTGCCAAGAAAGCTTAATTCAGTTATTGACCATCTAGCATTGGTAACATACCATCACCATCACACACAATAATATCATTGTAAGCCACACTTAAAGAAAAAAGACTGTATAACTTATAGAGAAATCTCTCTGTTAAGGGCTTCTTTCAAGACTCCTGCCTAGGAAAGTGAGATAAAACAAGATTAAGAATCTTTGCTATACAGATCTAAATCAATCCTTGCTACAGTTATAGCTAGACAGAGATATAACTTTCATTTAATACAGATATGTATTAATCTATTGCATATACTTTGGCTCTAAAATGTTCCCACTGAAAAAATTACTTTGATTTTACCTGAAGATGCTTGTAATAGTACAACCAATCCCGTAGGTCGGTCTTCAGAGGAGGGGCCACTCTGTCCACAAATAACACAGTCATATACTGCCTCAGAAACTTGTGGTTCTGCTGTGGTTATCTCCATAGGAATATCCGTTTCAGGAGAGTCTGAGGAAAAAAAGTTACAGTTCTTAATTTCTAAGGAAAAAAAATCTCTCTTCAATGAACATGGGGGAGGGGAGGGTCAAGTTCAAATAATTTTGAACTTTATTACCAATAAACTTATATAGTAATAACTATGAAAAAAATATCTTGCTAAAGTAAAACATTTATTCAGAAAAAGGTTCAACAAAAAATGCAGAGTTGATATAAAGACTGTAAAGAACATATGGCTAAATACACTTCTGATGTTGTTGAGTCATTCACAAAGAAAACTGATACTAAAAACACAGAGGCAAAGACGTCTGTATCAAGAAAAGAAAACTATAAAATGTAACATTTTAAAAGAAGAAAGGAGACGTTTAATTTTCCTCGAGGCATCTTAGAGGGGAAATTTACAATAACACAGCAATCTTAGAAAGGAAGAGCGCGTAAGTAAGGAAAAAACAATTTCTCCCTTACTCCAAATTCCAGCAATTATATCTCTTTAATGATAATTATCAATATATGTTCATTTACGTACAGAAATAATTTAGATATGGCTGTATTATTAAATATTAATTTTAAAAGCACATTATTACAGAAAATAACAGCAATGTCCTGGTGATAGAATTTCAATAACAAGAAATAAAATACTGAGTCAAAAATGACTTTCAGATAAAGACCCTTAACTTCATGAAGATCAATGATCCTGTCCCTAATGGGACAAAGAAGTGAGTAGAGGGCATTGGAAAGACCTGGGAGGCAGAAGTGATTTTTGAGATGTGTAATAGATGAAAGTATATCTAAGTAAATACATTAAATATATATATGTTAGAGGAAGTTTAGATATTTTTATCAAGAATTCATGCAGATAAAATAAACATATATCTAATATTTATTAACAGTGACTGAGAGGGAAGGGGGCGGGAAACCTAAAATAGAACTTTAGATACTGCCTAGTATTAACAGAAATAAAAAAGAAGCCAACAAAGAAATTAGAGGAAAAAATAACCAACAGCATATGAACAGAATCAAAACTATAAAGCACAATGTCTGTGAAAATGAAATTAACGAGTCAAAATGAAAAGATTTCACAAGAAAGAAAGTACCAGAGGCCATTAAGATTTGACGTGAGACTACTTTGGATTTTACGTAGAAAACTTCAGAAAAGAGGAGGTGAGTCTGATACCCGCAAGTTCAAAGGAGAACTGTTCCCCAAGGGAAGTCTAATGTTTTCAAACAAAAGACATTTCGCATTATTTTGAGGACATTAACTACGTCATCCTTGTATCACTTGTCCATTCTATCCTCTACCCATCCACAAAACTCCATAAACATGAAAGCAAAACATGGAGCAAAAAGATTTTTCCGATTGTTTTGCAAACACTTAGTTTAGATTAATCCCGTGAGTTTGTAAGTATAAAGGTTAAAAATAAAGGCAAAGGCTATTTTGTAATTAAAGATAAATTTTATGTGAAAATAAACTTTAAAGCAACTTTAACCAAAATTAGAATAAAAAATTTTACATGACAGCGTAAACTCTTGAAGTGGAATTGTAATATTTGTGAATAGTGAAGCTTTTCGCTCTTTGATATTAAAATTAATGTTGTAGAATAAGTAGATATTAAAATGCTACCATTGGAATATGATTTTTTAATTCCTTAAACTAGAAAATCTTCTCAGTGGAAACACCTTCACTGCTTTAAATATTAGCTTTCATGATTCACATCTTAGTAAGGTAGAGCACTTCAATTCTTTTACATATTGTAATGAACATGTGGTAGAATTGTATCGGTTAGCAACTACTGTGCAATAAACCACTCCAAAATTTAGTGATTTAAAACAACAACCACTTATTTATTATTTTGCATGAATCTATGGGTTGACTGGGTGTGTGAGATAGGGTCGATGAAATTATGTTTCTTTGACACAATAATATGAGATTGAAATATTATTACACTGTAAGCCTGCTTTCATGTTTATGGAGTTTTGTGGATGGGTAGAGGATAGAATGGACAAGTGATACAAGGATGACGTAGTTAGTGTCCTCAAAATAATGCGAAATGTCTTTTGTTTGAAAACATTAGACTTCCCTTGGGGAACAGTCAACTGCAAAACACAGTGGCACAAGGAAATGTGTGGTCTGCACTTTATGGTAGGCACAGGATTTTCTTCACTGGACAAACTAACTCAAAATTGTATTTTATTTGGTTTTACTAAGAAGTACTTGCTAGTAACCTAATAGGTGAGTTGCTATTTATAAACTAAGCACACTACTTGAGTTGACTACTTTCGGCTAAGAAGTCTGACTGCCCTGTGACAATTGCCAATATTACAAAACTCCCATTGCACAGATATCATGAATTTGGGTAAGGATGCATCAGTACTGTCCTGAATCATCATCATTGTTATTACTGTCACTCTTGCTTTCTTTCTTATTTTTACTTTGTACATAGAAAATATCCTCATTCTTTTTCTTTTCTAAATAAACTTTTAATTTTAGACTAGTTTTAAATTTACAGAAAAGTTCTGAAAATACTACAGAGAGTTCACATATAACCTATACCCACTTTTCCACATTATTAACACCTTAAAATAGCATGGTACATGTGTCACAACTAATGAACCAATGCTTATATATTATTGATCAATTTTGAATAATACAATATTGATACATTAACTAAAGTCCATATTTTCTTCAGATTTCCTTAGTTTTTATCTAATGTCCTTTTTCTGTTCCAGGATCCCATCCAGGATACCACATTATATTTAGTTATCATGTCTCCTTAGGCTCCTCTTGGCTGTGACCATTTCTCAGAGTTCCCTTGTTTTTGATTACCTTGACAGCTTTGAAGAGTACTGGTGAGTTTTTAATAGAATGTACTTCAATGCAAATTTGTCTGATGTTTTTGTCATGATTGGCCTGAGGTTATGGATTTTAGGGAAGAAGACCACAGAGGTCAAGTGTCATTTTCATCACATCATATCAAGTGTACATACCATCAACGTAACTTCTGATTGTTGATATTAATCTGATTACCTGGTTGAGGTAGTGTAAAGTACTTTTTCCCCTTTTCCATACTGTACTCTTTGGAAGGAAGTCACTATATACAGTCACACTTAAGGAGTGGGGAGTTATGCCTCACCTCCTTGAGAGCAGGGTACTTACATAAATTATCTGGAATTGTTCTACATGAGACATATGCCTACTGTCTCCCATTTATTTATTTATTCAATCATTTATTTATATCAGTATGGACTCAGATATTTTATACTTAGGGTTAAATGAAATACTACTTCATTTATTTTTTTGCTCAACATTGTCCCAGCTTTGACCATTTTTGACCCAGCTCTTTCAGTTGGCTCATGTCCCACTGACATAGCTCCCCCATCACTGTCCTTCCTTACCTTCTAGCACTACAGGATGCTCTAGGCTCATCTTGCATATTCCCTTCCCCAGGCCCAGAATCAACTATTTCACCAAGGAGCCCTAGTTCCTTTTACTGGAAAATGGCATCTGAAACCAAGATATAGGCATTGGACGTGTTTGCTTCTACCGGAATATCATTGCTTGAAGACCTTCTCAGCCGACAGAGCAAGGAAATATGTTTGTATACTAACTCATGTATGTGTGTATAGATACATAGATAGCTGTAGTCGAGATGATTCCGACTCATGGCAACCTTATGTTTGACAGTATGAAACACTGCCCGGTACTGTGTCATCCTCATGATCATGTTTGAGTCCATCACTGCTGCCATTGTGCCAATCCTTCTACGTCACCCAACATGAAGTCCTCCAGCAATTTATCCTTTCTGATGAGTGCCTGTTTTGTTGATCAGAGTAGAGTTACCTCCTGATCAGAGGGCTTCCCCTTTTGTGGTTTGAGGATGGCAGAAAGCACAATGACTACCCAAGCAAGAAAGTGATGCACAGCAGTTTATTAGCACTTATGGGGTAAAGCAGCCGGGAAGTCTGACCACACAGGGTCAGGGTACAGGCGGTTGGGCAGCGTCCCGACTGTCCTGGAGGCCCCTCCAGGGAGGAGTACTCAGGGTTGGTTTGGAGTCCACCCCCTCTTATACCAGAATTCAGTTCAAGTCAGTACCAGGTATATCTTTCACGTTCTCAGTGAAGCAGCTCTTCTTGGAGGTGCTTACCCCTTTGATGGAATGTGCTCCATCAGGTACTTACATATTCTTTAAATACCGTATCTTCAAAGCTTAAACTGGGCTTTGTGACACATATCATTCCTTTGGCCTTGCAAGATGCTTCTTAGGCCACAATGACACATCATCCCAACTGAGGGCCATTTTCTAATCTAATTTGATATCGCCTAAAGCAAGCAAGTCAAGCAATGTTCTGTTGTAATCTATAAGGGTTTTCACTGGCTAATTTTCATACGTTGATTGCCAGGCCTTTCTTCCTAGTTTTTCTCGGTCTGGAAGCTCCACTGAAACTTGTCCACCATGGGTGGCCCTGCTGGTATCTGAAATACCAATGGGATAGCTTCCAGCATCACAGCAACATGCAACCCACCACAGCACAGCAAAATGACAGACAGGTGGTATGTGTGTATCCATCTATGCTGATCTCTCCAACGCTAATCCATTATCATATGGATCATTCTAGCCTTTTCTCCTGCTTATCTGTAACCTCCCCACTCCACAGTGAGAAACCTGGCTCCTATTATCCATCATCCATTTACTTAACTGTTCAATCCCAGTATATATGTAAGTGGTTTCAGAATTGTTAAGGAAACAACTTTACCAACTAGAGTACAGTACTTATGTACAGTTCCCTTCACCTTTAGTCTTAACAGACTCCTCTCCTTTACAAAGTTACTTTGTTAGCACCTTTCTCCCCCTTTTAGTGTCATTGTTTCATATATTTTGTAATATAGTCAGATCCTCTTGTCACAGTCTGAACTCCATCTTGCGGTATCTCAACTTCCTAAATGATTTTTTAAAATCTGCATACATTAAGATTCACTCTTTCTGCTATACAGTTCTATAGGTTTTGACAAATGCATAGTGTTATACATCCAACATTACAGTATTCATATAGAATAGTTTCACTGCTCTAAAAAATCCCCTGTGCTTCACCTATTCAGTCCACCACCCCCCCTGAACCCCTAGCAATGAATGGTCTGTTTACAGTCTTTAGGGTTTTGCTAGAATGTCATCTACTTAGAATCATACAGGACGCAGCCTTTTCAGATTGGCTACTTTCACTTAGCAATATGCATTTAAAATTCATCTACATCTTTCCATGGCTTGATAGCACATTACTTTTTATTGCTAAACAGTATTCCACTGTATGGGTATACCATATTTTTCCATTCACCTATTGAAAGACATCTTGGTTGCTTCCAGTTTTGAGCAATTATGAATAAAGCTGCTATAAACATTCACATGCAGATTTTTGTGTGGAGATAAGTTTTCAGATCAGCTGGGTAAATATCTAGGAGTGCCAGTACTGGATCATATGATAAGGCTATCTTTAGCTTTGTAAGAAACTGTCTTTCTAAGTGGTTGTAGCATTTTGTATTCTCACCAGCAGTAAGTGAAAGTTTCTGTTGTCCTCATCCTTGCCAGCAATTGGTACTGTCAGTATTTTTTATTTCAGCCATTCTAATAGGTCTGTAGTGACATCTTATTACTGTTTGTAGAAGTGAGTGTCTTCATATAGGAAAGCTTATAACTTTAGAAAGGCATTAAACAACAGATCGGTAAGAGTACTAATCACAGAGGGAAATCTTTTGCCTTCAGAGAAAAAAGTTTTTGTACTGAAGTTTTTACCTAATAATGTTTTGTATTTGTTTAGTGGATTGGCAAATATTTTATTATAAATCGGAAATATTCTGTGTTATATTACTGGACTAGAAAGTTTAGGAGAACATCCCTAATATGCAAAGATAAGGCAAAATAAGAAAGAAGGAACTATTGACTGCTTACATTCTTACAACACAGGTATGAAATAAGGCAAGAACACAGAAGGAATCTGACAAATGAGGATTAAATCAAGATAAATGAATTATAATAAATTAATTAATATTAAATTGTATCAGTACTACTTCCAGGTAGTACCCCAGATGTGGGTCCTGCTTCATGTGTTAATAAGATTATAATACATAAGGCCACATGCAAATGAAGTAAACAGTAATCAGAGGCAGAGCAATTTAAGATTTGCAAGTTTTACCTTGGGCAATGGATGAAATCAATGGGGTTTTCAGGGTCAAACAGGTATCTTTGGAAAGGGATTGATTTATAAATAAAAGGAATATACTGAATCTGCACAGTCCAGAATCCCACCGGTGTGATAATGACCAAAATAAATAAAGCTAGTGCTCATGAATCTGTATTGCCTCACCTGTCACCACTGTGGCATGAAAAGACCAGGACTGGGGAAAAGCAGAGCTCATTATCCTGATGACTTCTGTGAATTGCCTATGTTTGCCAGAAATTATGTGTGCCTGATCCCTCAATTGTTCTTCCTGTGCCCTGGCTACTGCCAAAAAAGGTCAAACGTTCCCAAAAAGTAGCAAGATTTAGGAGACTGAGTCAGTAACTTTGCAGACTGATGACATTCAAATTTATGATCCTGAATGCAACTAGGCCCTATGCATTGCTTATCAATTTTTATAATCAGCCTTGGTGAGGAACATTTCCCACTCTCCTCAGCAACTATTCCAAACTTCAGGTCGTATTCTTTTCACTTAGCAGAATATACCTTTTACTTAACCCCGAAAACTAAAACAATCAAGAGTGATCTGCCTTAACCTCCCATTTCCCTCACCTCCAATGGGCATTATTATCTCTATCTTCATCCACTCTTTCCTTCTTCCTTCCAGTTTCCTCAGGTGAAGACGTGACCAATTTCCTATTCAAGACAATACCACCCAACTTCCTCTTGGGTACCTCGCTTAATCAATTCCTCAGAAAATCATTTTTGTTTTATTTCACTTGAGAGGTGGGATGTAGCAGATAAAAACATGTAAAGGCATTATTAACTAAGCTTTTTTCTTAGTTTCTAAAATTGGAAACAAACTGAAACAAATGAACTCTATATCAAACTAGTAACATCACCTCACAAAAAAAAGGACTGTTTTCAAATAGGCAATAGATAAGTGGTATCCTGGGTGAAGGGTGAGACAGTACACAATACAGGGGAAACCAGCACAACTTGTACAAGGAAAGGTCACGGAAGCTCCAAAGACACATCCAAACTCCCTGAGGAACTGAACTGCTGGGTGGAGGGCTGTGGGGACCATGGTCTCGGGAACATCTAGCTCAATTGGCATAACACAGTTTATAAAGACAATGTTCTATATTCTACCTTGGTGAGTAGTGTCTGGGGTCTTAAAAGCCTGTGAGCAGCCATCTAAGATACTCCACTGGTCTCACCCCTTCGGGAGCAAGGGAGAATGAAGAGAACAGGATACAAGGAAAGGTTAGTCCAAAGGACTAATGGACCACAGCTACCACAGCCTCCACCACACTGAGTCCAGTACAGCTAGATGGTGCCTGGCTACCACCACTGACTGCTCTGACTGGGATCACAACAGAGGGTTCTGGACAGAGCTGGAGAAGGATGTAGAACAAAATTCTAACACACACATAAAAAAGATCAGATTTACTGGCCTGAAAGAGACCGTAGAAACCCCAAGAGTATGGCCCGCAGACACCCTTTTAGCTCAGTGGTAAAGTCACTTCCGAGGTTAACCGTTCAGCCAGGGATTGCACAGCCCCATAAAACAAAATGGGACTAATGAGGCACAGCAGTCCAGGGACAAGGACTAGAAGGCAGAAGGGGACAGGAAAGCTGGTGATAGGGAACCCAAGGCTGAGTAAGGATAGTGTTGATGTGTTGTGAGGTTGTTAACCATTGTCATAAGGCAACATGTGTACTAACTGTTAAATGAGAAACTATTTTGTTCTGTAAGCCTTCAACTAAAGTGAGAATAGCAGCACAATTGGAAGAGCGTAGTCTATGTCACCGAACTGTGCATGTAGAAATTTTTGAAATGGTGTATCTTTGGCTATGTGTATTTTCACCAAAAAAAAAAGGTCGAGAAGGGAGAGGGTTGATATGTTGTGGGGTTGTTAACCAATGTCATAAAACAATATGTGTACTACTGTTTAATGAGAAACTATTTGTTCTGCAAACCTTCACCTGAAGTACAATTAAAAGAAATAAACAAACAATATTGATTGAAAAAAAAAAAAAAAAGAATTAAGTAAATATATAATGGCAGACCTCATAAATCCAAGAAGCAGTTTAACAGAAGTGAACAAGGGGAGCATACTATGTTGCTACCATCAGGAAGAATTTTCTGACAACTGTAACTACTCAACAGAGAGGGCTGTCTGTAATAAAGGTCTGATCTACCATCCCTCTATTATTTAAATAAAGGCTAGAAATCATCTGTCTGTAATGTTTAAAACTGATGGATGATTGGACTAGATCATCCCAAAGGTCATGGCACTGAAATTTTGAGAATTCTAAACTAATAAACTTTGACTTACCAACATCCATGGCAGTTTCCATGAAGCTTTTCTGTCGTGAAGCAAACTCTGCAAGCAATTTCTGCTGCCTCTCTCTAGCCTTTTGTCGCCTAGATTAAACAGAAATAAAGTGATAAGGACCACACGTGCTTAGAACTTACCTACCATCTTTCAGGAGTATATACTGAATGAAAAGTGCCTGAAAGACAGTTGAAAGCAATCTGTTTTCTGAAGTATGTATGAAATTTCATATAAGATTTTATTGTCTTTAAAAGGATTCTACTACTTTAAAAAGGTTTGAAAATCACTGACTTAGTAGGTAAAAATAAAAGCCAAGATTTAACTTTAAAATGTGAAATAATAATTAAGGTAGATAGAAAATTTGGGTTTCCAAAGTATGTGTTAGATGGTTACTAGAGTAACAAATTAGTTTGCAGCACAAACAATAGCAAATTGCTTAGTAGAAGCAGCTATGATGTTTAGATATGAACAGAATCTAGAAGATAAGAATTGTCGATTTATTGTTACTCTAAGAAAAAGCCTCTCCAACTAGATATAAAAGGAACAAAAGCTAAGAAGTTTCCCAGTTTCTACTAGGAGATATTCCAAATTTGATTTATTTTCTTTGAAGTCAAAAAATCTGAAAGATTCCAAGCCCAACATAAAGAATAAAACTATATTCCAAATCTAAGCATAAATATTCCTTTGGATTAATTCAATCTATTCTGCTTACTATTTATCCCTTATCTACTTCCAAAATAGATTTAAATTTAATTTTAAAGTTGGTTGCCAAAAAAATCACCAATACAACAGGACAACACAATAATGTAAGAATAATAAAAAGGGGCATAGTTATGAATGCTTCCTAGACACAACCAAATACCTTGCAGGATTACGGTACTGGGTTTGAAGGCTTAGGACCAGAGTCTTGAGGGGCAGCCTGGTCAACTGGCATAACACAGCTCATAAAGATAATGTTCTTACATCCTAGTTTGGTGAGTAGCATCTGGGGTCTTAAAAGCTTGTAAGCAGCCATCTAAGATACAACTATTGGTCTCTATGCATCTGGAGCAAAAGAGAAAGAAGGAAACCAAAGATTCAAAGAAGAAACTAGTCTATAGGACTAACAGTCTATACAAACCACAACCTCACATACCTTGAGACCAGAAGAACTATGTGGTACCCGACTGTACCAACCTTTCCGACCAAGGACATGACAGATGGTCTCAAATACAATGGGGAAAAAATGTAGAACAAAACTCAAATTTCTAAAAAGGCCAGACTTATTGGACCGGTAGAGACTAGAGGAACCAGGCTGCCCCTTGAGACTCTGGTCCTAAGCCCTCAAACCCAGTACCCTAATCCTGCAAGGATTATATTTAGGAAGTATTCATAATTATGCCCCTTTTTATTATTCTTACTGTGTTGTCCTGTTGTATTGGTGATTTTTTTGGCAACCAACTTTAAAATTAAATCTATTTTGGAAGTAGGTAAGGGATAAATAATAAGTAGAATAGACTGAATTAAGAGACTATTAGAGACTGGGATACCCTTTAAACTTGGAACTCAAGCCACGCCCAGAGGTCACCTCCCAGCCGAAAGACAGAGTGGCTCATAAAATAAATAATATTACCCGTGAGTACTGTGCTCCTCTAAACAATCATCTAAATGAGACCTAACAGTTAATATTTACCCTGGATTAAAGATGAGAAGGTAAAGGGGGACAAGGAAGCTAGATTAATGGAAACAGAACAACCAGAATAGAAATAATGAGAATGCTGACACATTGCTGAACAATATGTATAGAAATTGTTAAATGAGAACCTAATTTGCTATGTAAATTTTCTCCAAAATCACAATATTATTAAAAAATAAAAATAAAAATAAAGAAGGGAGATAGGCTTCCCTAGACTGTAAATGCTAATATACCAGTGAGCACAAAATTTTATCCTGGCAAAAAAGTTAAAATAATCATTTAAAACCAGAGGAGAGGGAAAGGAAGAAGAAAAAGAAAGGTTCAAAAGTGAGTTATATATCAATACATCAGGAGAGACAAACTTTTTACTTGAACAAAACTCAAAGAGGAATTCATTACAGTCCATGATACAAAGGACATTAAAAACTTAATGGACAGAGTATACCCTAGCAGTTTGTTTTAATGTCCATTTATTATATCTATACATGATAAAAGTCAAAGCATTATGTTAAACTGAGGTTCTATAAAGTCATTTCTACAGGAAATCTAAAAATATTTTTTCTATTAATCTGAAATGACCCAAGAATACAGCAATATAGAATTTAGTAGAATGAAATGTTAATAGTAATTTTTAGATTATACACACATCTGCTCCCATCTAATTAGTGGAGATAATCATGAACTAAACAGACAAGGTACAACTATAAAGTCAAGTACTATGGTCCACCTTACCATGGGAACATACATATTTATGTCAATGATGTTCAAAAGATTTTTAATACTCCTTTTTTTTTTAATATTTACTTTAATGACAATTTAGGATCTGCATTTAAAAAAAATTGCTTTATTATAACAACAACTCTTATTTTTTATATTGTGTTTGAGCCAATATATTATTATCCAGCTCAATCACTCATCTTATTAATTAAACTTAACTCTCTATGACACTGGCCGTTTAAAAAATTAAATCCATCCTTCCCATTCCTTGCCTTCCTGAAAATGGAGAGTGGCAATAGTGGCCCTGCACAGGGTATCAAGGACACAACAACTAGTACAGGAGGGCATTTGTGTGAGGGAAGATTACAGAAAATTGGTTATATACAGGGACACTGATCAAAAAAATAATATATATTAAAGATAATGGGTTCCAGGTTTCTCATTGTGGGAGAAGGGAGTTACAAATATGGAAAGAGAAAACAAGAATGATCTCTAGGGTGGTGATGGATTGGAATTAAAGATACCAGGGTAAACTTATAGTTTTCCATAGATATAAAAATAAATACCAATCTCTCTCCCTCTCTCTCTTTCTCTTATACACACACACATCCTTGCTCTGTCCATTAAAAGGGCCTAGGAACTGCTATAACTCATTATCAATGAGCACACTAGATACCTAAATCATGGTTTTTAAATACCATTCTCCACTAAAAGTAGAGCTCCTAATGAGCCTAGAACATCTTTTTGTCCCAGAAAACTTGAAAATGCTCAAAGAATCATGGGGTAAGTCAGATGAACGCAGAAACCAGCCTGAAAGGGCTCCCAATGGCCAAATCTGGAACAATTTGAGGATCAAAATTAATAACAAGCATATCAGATTGAAACTCATAAAACAAAACAGGAATTCATGAGTCCATACTGATATGAAATACATGAATAAACTGAAAGTTAATGAGGAATAAGATATTACATAGTCTCAAAGTATCTCTCCACAAATTAAGTATAAATTATAAAAGGGAAAAAAAGAGTAACTTGACAGTAGTCTGGCAAACACCTTAAACAAGTAATTGAAATTAATCACCAGTAATGAAACAAATCAAAATAATGTAACACCTGATAGGATGTAATGAAAAGAAAACAGCACTACTTTAATATTCCTGCTAGAGATGCATACCCTGAATATAAACACAAGGGAACATCAGACATGGCCAAATTGAGGGATATTCTACAATGTTACTGTCCTGTAATCATCAAAACTGCCAATATCATGCAAATAAAGGAAAAACTGAAGAAACTATTCCCGACTAAAGAAGACTAAAGAGACTACTAAATGCAATGTGTGACTCTGGCCTGGATCCTTTCACTGCAAAAAAAAATTACTGAGACAACTGTCGAAGCTTGAATGGGATCTAAGAATCTGAACACAGTCAAATACATGTTAATTTCCTGATTTTGATCATCATATTGTGGTTATTTAAGAAAATGCCCTTATTTGTAGGAAATACACACTAAAGTCCAGGGTGAAGGGGCATCATCTCAGCAACTTATTCTCAAATGGTTCAGGAAGTTCTCTGTACTGTCCTTAAAATGTTTCTATAAATTTGAGACTGTTTCAAAATAAAAACTTAAGAAAAAATTAAATCCATCCTCACAGGACAAATATTTGCCATCATGAAAGAAATGGAAACAAACAAAAATGTGCTATAGATGCTCAAAGCATTCTAAGAGACCTCCAAAAATGCTATTAGCAACAACCGCATAAACAGAACATGTTTGGTCTCTTACATCACTACTTTGAAGATATACTTATATAAATTTATTGTATAAGTTTTGTATGTTTCTTTAATTAAGACAATGTTACACCATTCTACAGTTCAACTTTAAACATGAACGGATATATTTAGAATAAATACATCCATAAAATATATATTTCAAACAACAAATCGATATATCAAATGTAAGAAAACTTCAGATCCAACTGATTGGCACCAGTGTTAAGATACATTTTAATATTAGCTTTCTATGATTTCCAGAGAGAAAAAATTGTCATTATTTTTTCCTCATGAAATTTTTTTTTAATCTAGGTTATTCTTTTCCTAAAATTTGGCAAAAATGTAAATAAAGACCATTAACAAAAGACATAAACAAGTTCTGACAGATTCAATACAACTCAGAAATTTTCCATTATTACCCTAGAGTGAAGACACTAAGGTTGAATATTATTACAACCATCTAAGGGTCCCTGTACCTTGTTCTCTATGAAGCTAATCTATTATGAAAGTGATACCAAGTTTGTCTATAGGTGAGGTACCTGGAAATGGATTATCATTAAGTCCTTATGAACTGTTCTATGTTTATTATTATTCACAATATATTCAGGAAAGACATTGGTAGGAAACACAGCGAGACTCACATTCATCTTAATCCTTAGCTGTGCATGCTTCAGAATTAGTTTCAGGTCCTTGTCAATATCATTCCCATTCAAAGGAAATAAAACCCATCACAAAGAAAAAGGCTTTACATTTTTTAGAATATTATTTATTACACAGCCTTATGGCCTTTGTAAAAATAGCACCTGAACCATGTCCTGCAGTATTACATGTATGATTAGTAATAATTACAAAATACCCTTAACCAAATAAAATAATCTTTGACTCACTGAATGTCTACTTTGCTTTAAAAAAAAATTATGTAAAACAACGTTATATATAACAAGGAGGAAAGACCATCAATTTAGAAGAGGTTAACAAAAATTTAAAATATACCTTATTTTCAACCTCCTAATTTTATCAATAAATTTGTTAAATTCTAGGCTATTGTAATTCAAAATTAATGAACTGTCATCCAAACTATGTTAGTTCTTTGTAACAATTGTTGTTTATGAAGTACTATGAGGAAAAAAATAGGAACTCTCTTGAATTCTTAATATACTTTAATAATACTTTTAATGTGAATTTTCTTTAACAAATTTTTAATTGCATTAGAAATAAAGTACAACATTCACTAGGTTACCCAAAAAAGCCCACTGTTGTCAAGGCGATTCCAACACACAGCGACCCTACAGGACAGTGTAGAACTGCTCCATAGGGTTTCCAAGACCGTAAATCTGTATGGAAGCAGACCGCCACATCTTTCTCCCGCGAAGCGACTGGTGAGTTCGAACTGTGAACCTGTTGGTTAGTAGCTGAGACTTTAACCACTGTGCCACCAGGGCTCCTTTTATTAGAAGGTATGCTTTTTTCCTTTTAATAAACACTGAACCGTTTCCAGGGGCTTCACAATTATGCTGTGTTTCAATCTCTCAAGATTCACCTTGTCATATTTATGATAGCAGGGTGGGCTATTGGGGAACAGCTGGTGACAATGCACAATAGTACAACTCTTCTGGCAAGCAATGAGTGCTAAGAACCATACTATGTTCATAGCCCTTGACCCACAAATCCCACTTATAAAAAAACTCTGTCCCGAGAAAGAAAGTCAAAAGGTGGAAAAAAATGAGGTTTTTATAAATATTATAATTTAGGAACAAATTAGAAGCAACCTAAAGCTTCAGAAACTAGAGGTATACATTCACTAGGTGTTAATAATTGGTAAACATATTGATAAAGACTGAAAAGAACCAAAAGGAACTAAAACAGTTGCATTTTTATTTTGAGAAATATTTTAAATATTTAACAATTTTTTCTATTCTCATTTAAAGTTGAATTAATAATACTTTTTGAAATAACAAGAGAATTATTACATCGCTATGGAACCCTTGTGGGGCAGTGGTTAAGAGCTCGGCTGCTAACCAAGCGGTCAGAAATTTGAATCCAAACAGCCGCTCCTTGGAAACTCTATGGGGCAGTTCTACTCTGTCCTGTAGGGTCACTATGAGTCGGAATCGACTTGATGGCAACAGGTTTATTTGTTTTTATAGCAATAACAGTAGTAGCAATTTTTCCAAAAAGGCCTACAAATTTAAGGTAGTAATTTAATACTGGGGTCAGAAACTCTTACCACCCGCAACTAACTCAGCATCCTACATGCCCAAGCACTGACTATGTTCAGTTCCAGCTGCCTTACAAACTAATCAGCTATGGCTACGGCTGTTAAATATTTAGGTGATCGGCCGACCAAAAAACAAAATACCAAATCTTCAACTGTACCATATCTGTTTAAAACATTAAAAATAAAAATTACCTTTCTTCTTTGTCCAGTGTTTTCTTCTCTGCTGCAGTGATTTTTTTGGGTGGCACAGGAGGGGTCACTTTTCTACATATCTCTTCAATGAGGCGTTTGTTCATTCTGCTTTGCAATGCAGCTTTTAGTAAAATTCTTTCTACTGCAGTTATACCATCTCCATGACTATATTTAGGTATTTCTGGTTGGATTAAAATTTCTATGTCATCTAGCCAAGGAGGATAGTAGGAGTTTTGTTTTCCTGAGAGTTTGTGGTGAAGTTTAATTAGCAAAGACAATATGCTTTCTTTTATTTCCAAAATGGCTGTAGTTAGCTGTGGAGCTGAACCAGGAGCACACCATTTACTTGAAGTTTTGGGACGAACCACCTGATTTGCTTCACTGCTACTGCGATTGATGATCTCCTGAAATTTCCTTCTACGCTCTGCTACTAAGCTGAAAACTTGAGCTGTACCAGAATTCTACCAGTAAAAAAGAGAAAGAAGGAAAAAAGCAAGAAAAATTACTCAGCATCAATTTTGAGACCATATTAGTACCACCTTTTCAAAAGGGAATGGTCCAAGTTTCATGCAAAGATTTATTTAATATTTTTAAGTTCATACTTCTAGTCACACTTTCTTCAGTTCCCAAGGAGGTTTTGCTGATTTAAATGTATGCTGCAAAAATGAGACAACATATGACCAAACTATGATTTTTTAAAAAAAATTTTTAAATATACATTTTATAAGGTATGTTATTTCCATCAATAGATATGTTCTTTAAAATTAATCTTCCCCTTCACTTTTCTTTCTCAAATATATTTAGTCCCGTTCAACCTGGAAACAGCAATGAGGAGAAAAGAAGAATACCATCAATAACACCTCTTTCTCAACCTCCTGGATCTATCTACCAGGGAAAATAGACGAAGCTTGGGAATATTTATAGCATGTATTAAAGAGAAATCTAAAATAAGTTCCTTACTAGTTTAAAGAAAGAAAAGTTGTTCTATTCAACATTCATCAAAAATACTGCACTCTACTAATTTCTACAGGACTGCTATATTTTCCAGTTAAGAAAATTATGAATTATATTTTTAATTGAAGTTAGTGAACCTGAACTTGTAATTAATTTTATTTTTAAAGAACTTCAAAAGTTCTACAACTACTTCTAACATAAATGTAATTACTGAACTGAAATATAAAGATAAAAAATCAAATTAATCTGTTTCATATTTGAATATCACTGCTGTTATTCAAACATATTTTAAACTATTTTCCACAACAGTTTATCTTCTAAATAGCCTTTTGTTAATGCAGTCAAACTACATTAGGACTCTTAGAAATCATATTTCAATTAAGATATGAGTCAGTTTAATGGATTTTATTAATTTTTTTAAAGCTAGCATAGAAAGGATGTTCCATCAGTTGAGGTTTTATGAGACAAATTACAGTATTCACTATTTTTTAACATCCAAGCTATTTTTTAAAGTACTCTTTACTGGCATTAGAGGCAAAAGCTGCCTCTTATAGAGGTTCCAATACTGTAATCAAAACTCTTCATATGGTGTTCACAGCAAAACATGCTGTCGAAAGCAAAGAAAGCTCCAGTGAATGGATTCTACTATTAAAAACATCTGATTCAATACTCTCTACTCACAAAAATCTAGGTTGTTGTGACTAGAAGTGCTTAACTTTAGTTATTTGGCATGTCATTTCAAGGTTTTTCATTTCCACTTTTAAAATCAATTAAGCTACATGCAATCAGAGAGCTGATTTTCAAAATGAATTCAAATACACACTATATACAGTTGTAATCTTTTTGTGAGTTTATTTTATCAAAGTTAATCAATTGCCATAGAAGCAAAAAAAAATTAATATTTGTAAATGGGCATGCTTCCATCAATTAATGATTAAATTTATTTTGATTTAGGAAACAGTCATTTTAAGATGTTAGTAATATAGCTGCAATAATAAATGTAAACAGACCCAAATGTGCAGTGCATAACTGGTCCAAAATATTGCACTAATAGGAAATACCCACTATTAAATATACAATATTATTTTAAGCTCAATAATGTGAATTCTTAAAAATTAAGCTAAAATTACTTTATCAAAAAAAAGTCACGCTCATACATTAAAGAAACATTCTTTTAAAACTTAACCATATTAACTGAACACACATATACACACACAAATACTTCAAAGTGTTTTTTCCCCATTTCCAGTCAAAGCCATGTTGCTAGTTAATGCAAATATTGTACACATCTACCTCTCTTTGAAGGACTTTAGGCCGTCGTGAACTCTGGCAGATTAAAGGAAAAAGACTGGTGAGGCAGAAGTTGCTTAGATACATCAGAGGAAATAAAAGACAATTTAAAGTTATCTATAACTTTTTCTTTTAGATATCGCAGGATGATCTAAACAATATGCTCCAACATAACATAAAACATTTCCTTTTATTCTTTTCCTTTTTCTCTCTTTTACACTTACTTGTAAAGAACCCAAGCTATCAGAACTAGTACTTGCAGGTGAGTCTCTCTTCACTTCAGGAGCCGTCTCTGGAACTCTGACTCTAACATAGTTTATAAAGTGTCGCATGTTCGATACCAAGTTACTTCCAGGAAACCAACTGTCATGGCAACGTTCTGGTCCACCCACTGGTGCCTGTAACATAAAAATAATGAATATCAAACCTTGTCAGGTGAGGTCTCAGGTACAATGGAGATGTAACAAGACCAATAATCTTCCATTGCCTGTGATATTCCTGAATCCCTTATAGTCTCACTCACAAATTATAAAGTGCTAATAAAAACCAGTTCAAACACTAAATACAGGAATAACTTTCTCAATACTCATATGAGTAAACCCAGTGGAAGTCAGCTATATGTCTCCTGAAAAATACTTTTTTAATCTAGAAGTACTTAACATTACAACATTACAAAATATTTATCATCACCAATTAGTAATAACTCAAAATACAGTCAAATATCACTAATTTAAACCAATTGTGAAAGAAAATCTGAAAAATCAACCAAAAGTATTATCTAGTTTTAAAAGAATCTTAATGATCTTCTAATATCTATGAAAGAATGTATGCTGATTCAACTAGGACTACAAAGTGTTAACTCATTTGTTTGCTACTAAAATATTGCATTGTATTTTATCTTTTTGGAGGGAGGATATGAGGAGAATCTCATATTTGTAAAAATAATTTGTAGTAACAATTACTTTTATGGAAATGATATTTCTAAAGTCCTCAAATACATTAATAACCTGTATACTTAAGTACTTTAAACATTCTCCCATATGACAATATTTACTCCATTAAATTATAATCTTTACAGGAAGAATTGGCAACTCAAAAATATTATAATTTCTAGACTGAAGTCCTAACTTAATAACTGTTTACTGGTAATCAACGTCTTCAGCATAAGAAAAAAATACATTAACTATTTTCTTAGATTAATTTTTGTGCTATGTTATGAAATACAAATTTCAAACTTAGTAATTCTACAAATAGAGTTTCATATACCAGTGAAACCTCTAAAAGACAGTATGTACTTGAAGCTCAAAAAGGGCCTTTTCCAGTAATTCTTTTGAAAATCTTAAATGAATATGATGAATCCGTAAGTACACTTCAAGACCACACACCACCTTTACTAAAGCATGTCATAACTTTATTATTTAAAAATATGAGAAACTACATACTTCTTCATCTGACTCCTCTTCAGGAGAATTTTCGAGTCCTAATTCAATCAGGTATAAAACCATGCAGAGAACATGTTCTGACAGATTTTGATGATCCATCAAAATCTTTAAAAAGGGAAAAAAGTCTCATAATTATTTTTCCACAAAATACATTTCATTTAAAGGTCCACAAGTGTTTTAATATTATAGGTTAAAATAACATGATCAGATTTATAAAAATAAATATAAAGCACGATCAGATATGTAAGTAAAACTACATCCTGGTGAGTAGGCAAACTAAAACAACAAAAGTGGTTCCCTCTTAAAATCACATAATATTTTAAACAATAGCTAGGTATATACACTAAGTTTGTATATGTGCTAAAAGTTAACACACTAAACAGTTCGCTAAACTATTAATAACAAATATACCAGTGTCTAATAAAATAATTGAACAAGAATATGTTACATTCTAATTTGCTGATACTCTTCTCTTGATGACAAGCATATCAGATAAATAAATCTGTTAAATAGGATATTTCCTGCAAACATGTTTAGTATCACAACTGGCTCATAATTGGAGCAAAATAAATGTTTATAGAACATTAGTGTTCTTAAAATCTCTCTAAAATTCTAAGCCTCCGATTATTTTGTTATGATTGTGTTAGTGTGTAGTTTATATGAGTAAGAAAAGAAAGGGGAGCAAATGGTTAGCAGAGAGGCTTCTCTGTGGAAAATATGATAAATCTGACTTTATACAGGGGTTATAATACAAAACTTACACGTCTTATACAGGATTTCAGGGCTACCTACACCAATCACTTGTTCAATATGATGTAAAAGATCACTAACCAAAAGACACCTAAAGTACATGTGACCAAATGAAGAAAGGAATAAGAGGAAGAGGTTCTGTGGGGAGTGGTAGTGTCACCTGTGTGCAAGATAGCAAAGAGCCAAAAAGAAGACAGGCTAGGCTGACCTAACAAAAACTTTCCAAACAGCTGAGGGGACTGGGAAAAGAGGACTCAGTCACTTAAGATCTAACCTATTGTGAATAAAGAATGGAATCTCAATCACTAACTCTCTAATTTTTCTTTTCACTACTGAGAGGGCTTTCCATTCATCTCTTGTGAGGCCAGTAGTGAGGAATGAAGGCTTTGAAACTTCTTCTAAAAAACCTGATGGTTTTAACATAAGCTCTGTCTACACCTATTTGACCTTGAACAACAGATTGTGGCCTCAGTTTTCTCATCTCTAAAACTGGAGTAATAATGCAGAATTGCTGTTAGGATTACATGAGCTGATACCTGTAACTTGCTTAGTATAATATCTAGCAATAAGTGTTCAACAAATAGTAGGTGGTGCTGATGGTGTGAGGAGCAGAAGCAGCAACAGGAGGGGACTGAAGCCTGGGAGGCAACGGAGGTCATCGTTTCCTATCCATTACTTTACAGAGAGGAAATCAAGGCTCAGCCACACACCCAGCTAGTGTCAGCAACACTAGAATACAGATTTCAGACTAGACTCCCAGGTCATTGTTCTATCATACTACGCTGCCTCCTCTGGATAAATACAGCATTATCAGCTAAATTCAAATGAATTTTGACTTGAAACTGGGTGATATTACAGCTTCAACTGAGTTACTTCAAAAAGGAAAAAAAAAATCACTTTATTAGATACTTAATGTAAAAAAGAAAAACCTGAAAACTATTTTCCTGGGGAGTTTTAACATATTCTGTATTACAAGGTTTTTTAATATTAAATACGGCAGGGGATGAAGGTGGTTTACTGAAACTGATTTTTAGAAAGTCGACTCAACAAGATTAAGCAAATTCAATGTCAATTAAATAATTTCTTTCATTAAAATCATGAAAGTTATTTACAGTTGGAATCTTAAAATTCATTCATACTAATTTTGTAACGACTAAAACATGCCTGTTTATTTTTTAGAAAATACTATTTTTACATTAAGTAAATGAAAAAGTTGAAAAAATATAACTCAAAAGAATACAAATCATTTGTACTTAAGCCTTCCTTAATTTTTAAAGCATGAATTACTTATTAATTATTTCTTATAATAGCAGTCAGCTTCACCATCTGAACTAGTTATTTAACCTCTAAAACTCAATTCTCATTTCTGAACAACTGAGAATAATAACAAAATTTTTACTCATAAGAATTTTTACTGTATTTAAACAAGTATACAGAAAGTATCTGAAACAACATCTGGCACTGAGTAAGCATTCAATAAATGTTATTTGTAAAATAAATACAAATATCAATTTAGTAGGAAAAAATATTCTATTTTTTAATTAAGAAAAAGGACATTTTAAACCATTATACTGAATAATTCTCTTGGAAATTAATGAAAATAAACCATTCAACATGTTTTTTGAGGCACATGTTCTAAAATCTTAACAGAAACAACTTTTATAAGTAAAATGAAAAATCAGTCATGGAGTGAGACTGAAAAGCAGAGTATAAAAATCTAAATGCATTATTTCATTACATAGCAAACATTGAGGAAAAACTAAAAACGTCTACTTAACTAAATTTAATGCATACTTTCTTAAGTAACTAAAAATAGTTGTATGTAGTAACTAGAAATTTGCATATCAAATGTTTTCTTTTCATTTAACTTAATTTCTAATTTTTCAAATTCTAATTAGAAAGAGAAAGAAACAATAGATTTTCTTTGTATCTAATTACACAATATATATTATGTTTATAATTATTTTACACATGCCTATAGTTGTTTTATCTATATAACATGAGTAGAGTTGTTTTATCTTTCATCTCTTATCCAAATTAGATCATAAATATCCCTGTTATATATACACACACATACTCCATAATATTATGTTTCATATAGTTTTTGAGTACCCAATTAATATTAGCCAAATAAATAAACCAGTCTATGTAAGACTCAAGAAAAAAAGAAATTTTAGGTATCTGGAAAGTAAAAGCATCATCTTTTGAGTTTTCTAAGATGTTCATTAAAAGCATATTCTTGAAGTTGCTTCAAAGAGCCCACTCACAATCCCTCCACGTTATATTCCTGATCAAAGAAGAAAAGCAGAGAGCAACTCTAACAGTTCTCTGCTCCCACGGCTGACATCTTAGTTTTGTCATTTTAGTGGGTTCTGGTGGTTGTTTGCTCCCTGTTGTTCATTCTATTCCCCCTGTAGTTCACTTCTTGCTCGATAGGAGCCATAAATAAATATTCCTGCCTGAAGCTGGATAAAACAAATAATTTCCTAAAAAGCACGGCTTAGTTATCCGACTTGGTATTCACATGTATGTGATTATGACACACCTTTATATCTCTTAAAAGCATATATATACTTTGCTTTAAAAATGGTACTTTTATGTAAATATTATCATTTAACATTTTTATCTGAAAATTTTGAAAATAAATTCAATTCTGATTCTTTCTACTCAAATTGCTACTGTACCTTGTAAAGCAGAGTGAATAGCACAATGTGTAAAGTTTTACAGTGCAAAAGTCTCATGAGACCTTTATAGCTGGGATGGAGTGGTGTCCTTTTCTTATAGGGGGGCCAGGGATTTCCAGAGAATTTTCCACTCTGTTTTAAGCTGTAAAAATAAAACAACACAAAAATTATGTGACAGGCTCAAAATTAAACTGTAATTTCAATAGTGATTTACAGACATCAATTGTTTTGTCACATATTTCTATGCGGTACAAGTAGTCCCCAACTTATGACATATTCAAGCTATGACGAACTGCACTCGAGACCGTCTGTTTTTTGGGTTTTTTTTTTTTTTTTTTTGTACATCTTATCGTTAGTAATATGTACTACATACAATGCTGCAGCATGTAATATGCTGTTATTCTCAGATGTTCACTCACAGATGTTCAAATTTATAAAGATTTATTATGACACTAACAATAAAAGGCTGTAATAATGAAAATGTAAAAAAAAAAAAAAAAAGGTATTCTACTTACATCAGAACCAACTTACAATGGAGTCGTCGGAACAGAACCCTGTCATAAGTCAGGGACTACCTGTACTGCTTTTAATTGAACTGCTTAAAAACACCAAATGATATATATTCTCTACACAATGAACATTACTATTTCCTTTCCTATTAGATAAAAATAAGTAGAGACAGCGAAGCTAAAAACTAGACAGAACTGTGAATTTAAAAATACTAACAAAGGGAAAAGAACAGAAAGAATACAAAGAGAAGAACCAAACAAGGAAATTTCTGATTCTAACAATAGAGCAAAATAAATAACCTAAAAATTTTCCCACTATCAAAAACTGGATGAAATATAAAATACAGTCTTTTAAACTCATATTTGAGCTCACAAAAAAGAAACAGGAATTCCCCAGGTACCAAAAACAAAGAAGAAATTAATAACAAGCACTAACACTGCATTTGCCAATGGTTTTAAAGCCCTTGAGCAAACAGATTTCAAGTCCTTGGGCTCACACGAGGCTCAGAGAGGTTGAAATGAGATCCTACATAGCTGAAAGGCTTTACCCTCACTAAAAAAAAATCCCAAAAGAGAAATAAGACAGCTTGTCTGTCTCTTCTGGGGTGGAAGAACAACAGGCTCCCAGAAAGAAAATAATTATGAACTTGTATGCAAATAATAACAGACTCAAAACACAAAAGGCAAAATTTGAATTACTCAGAGAAACTGACAAATCCACAACTACAGTAGTGGATTTTAACATACTTGTAACTAATAATCCAAGAAAAATAAATTGGTACAGATTCTGAAGCTTTTTTTTGCTTCTAAATTTCATTTATTTTGTTGTTATTGTTGAGAATATACACAGCACAACATACACTAATTTAACAGTTTCTACACATAAAGTTTCGAGACACTGATTATATTTTCGAGTTGTGCAATCATTCTCACCCTCCTTTTCTGAGTTGTTCCTCCCTCATTAACATAAACTCACTGCCCCCTAAAGTTCCTATCTAATTTTTGGAGTTGCTATTGTTGATTTGATCCCATATGGTTAGTTCTTAAAAGACCATAATGCTCAAGGCAGGCCTTTTTTACTAGTTAAGATAAACTATTGTTAGGTTTTAAGATGATTTCAGGGGATATTTTTGGTTTAAAGTTTAAAGACTGAAGATTTTAACAGCACAATTAAAAAGCCTGACAAATAAAGAATATTCAACAATTATACAATACACATAATTTTAAGCGCACTTTTGTACTGTATAGTAGATGCAAAGTGTATCTCAACAAATAGCCAAAGGAACTGCTGTTTTGACCATAATCACTTATCACAAACCAACACAACTAGAATTAAATACTAAAAAGATAACCAAAAACTCCACACATGTAGATGTTTTAAAACATTAAAAATACAGAAATCAGAGGTCATTACAAATCATAATACAATTTTTTTAAATATTTAGAGTCTAAATTACTAGAAAACATTGTTGGATACAACCAAAAGCAATGCTTGGAAGAAAAGAAATCTGTAGCCTTAACGTCGTATGTTAAAAAAAAAAAAAAAAAACGAAAACAAAGCACCCAAGAAACAGAACAGAGAAAACTCAAACCAAATTGAAAGAAGATAACAATGAAAAATAAAAGAAAAAACAGTAAAATAGAAAATGAAGAAAAAAACAACAACAACAAAACTATAAGTTGGTTCTTAGAAAAAATACAACGGGCAACCCTGATAAGACTAATCAAGAATAAGAAACAATAAACACATACAAATAATAAGAATTAAAAAGGAGATAAAATTATGCAGTACAGATTATTTAAATCATTAAGTGTATGTATACTTAAGACAAAATAGAATTTATTTCTCAGAAAAATACAACTTAGCAATCCCTCTCAAGAAGAAATTAAAAAAAAACAAAAAAACCTAAGCAGACCTATAATCTGTAAAGAATGTGAATCCATAGTTTAAAATTATCCACAAAAAGGAAAAGATACAGGTGGGTGAACAGGCAAGTTGAATCAAAATTCTTCAAAAAACATCCACATGGTGGGGTTGTTAACCACTGTCATAGGGAATATGTGTACTGTTTAATGAGAAACTATTCTGTTCTGTAAACCTTCATTAAAAGTACAAAAAAAAAAAATTATCTATGTGAAATCAAATTGACAACAGCAACTCAAAAGGTTTCATGGGAAGCCTAGGGGGCAATGAGTTGAAGATACTGTTGATGGACTAATCTGGAAAAGGATAGTGAGAACAGCAGCACAACTGGAAGAACGTAATTGATGTCACTGAATTGTACATGTAGAAATTTTTGAAATGGTGTGTCTTTGGCTACGTATATTTTCATCAAAAAAGAAAAAAGGTCCCCCAAGGTCGAGAAGGGAGAGTGTAGACATGTTGTGGGTTTGTTAACCAATGTCATAAAACAATATGTGTACTGACTGTGTAATGAGAAACTGTTTGTTCTGTAAACCTTCACCGAAAGTACAATAAAAAAAAAATTTAAAAAAAAAGAAACATCCACATGAAAAAGAACAAAGTTGGACCCCTTACCTCACACAATATACAGAAATTAATTCAAAATGAATCAAAGGCATAAGTATAAGAGCTAAAACTACAAAACTCTTAGAATAAAACATAGACTCCATGACCTTAGATTAGGAAATGGTATCTTATACATGACACCAAAAGCACAAGCAACAAAAAAAGTAGATAAACTGGACTCCAACAAAATTAAAAGCTTTCGTGCTTCAAAGGATACTCTCAAGAAAATGAAAAGACAAGCCACAGAACAGGGGGAAAACTGCAAATCACAGGTCTGATAAGGGTCTAGCATTCAGAATATATAAAGAACTCTTACAACTCTATAACAAAAAGATTAATACCCCAATTAAAAATGGGCAAAAGATCTGAATAGATGGTTCTCCAAAGACATACAAATGGCCAATAAGCACTGAGAAAGATCTCAACCTTATTAGCCGTCAGAGAAATGCAAATCAAAATCACAATGAGATACTACTTCACACCTATGAGAATGTCTATAATCAAAGGCAGATAATAACAAGTGTTAGTCAGGATGTAGAGAAACTGGAACTCTCATACACTGCTGGTGGGAATGGAAAAGGGTAAAAACCATTTGGCAGTTCCTAAAAAGATTAAACAGAGTTACATATGACCCAGCAATTCTACTCACAGATATATACCCAAAAGAAATGAAAACATATATCCACAGAAATACTTGCATAGGAATGTTCACAGCAGCATTATTCATAACAGTAAAAAGTAGAAAAATAGCCCAAATTATTTATCAACTGATGAATGGATAAATAAAATGTGGTATACCGATACAAAACAATATTTTTCGGCAGCACTTGGTACCCCAGTAACTGCAGATGGAGAGATAGGAGGCTAAAATATGGAGGACTGTATGAAAACTGCTTCTCCCCAACTGCAGCAGAATTCTAGCAGGAGGATTCTTCTCTGGAAAGGGTAAAACACCAAGCAAACTTAAGGGTATGAGATGGGAAATTAACTGATTGCATGCATGTTTGATTCAGAGCCCCTAGACCTCATCAGCCTTTCAGCTCACAGAATGACAGCCAGACCATTATCCTCTCAGCAATATTTAAGGTACTTCTCTGAGGACTCTGACCAGATTAAAAAGAAAGATCTAAAGAGACTAACATAAGGGCTTCAACAAAAGGCCTACCCAATTCACTCTACGTTAAAACTCAGAATCAACAAGTTCCACCAGCATACTCAGAGTTCTTAATCATAAGTACCAGAATTATCAGGAATACCTCTATCATGACATGAGAGACTCAACAAACAGAAAATGCAACTTAGAAAAAGAAATAACATGTAGGTAGAAAAATAAATCTTAAAAACTAAAAAAAAAATAAGGAGAGGCAGCACCAAGATGATGGAGTAGTCAGACGCTTTCAGTGGTCCCTCTTAGAACAGAGACCTGAAAAAACAACTGAATTGCTTATATATATATGACAATCTAGGAGCCCTGAACATAAAAGGCAAAGTTGAGGAAACAGACTGAGTGCCGAAGGGAAGGAGAAATGGTTCGGAAGCAGTGAGTAGTTGCCAGACCTGACCTGATAGTACCTGGAGCCCTTGAGGCCGGATCAGCCCATGGTGGGCGGTGAGGCAGCCAAGCAGTGGTGCTTGGGAGGCATTTTCACACTGGGAGAAACCCAGTGGCAGAGAGTGTACTCGGTCATCCAGAAACAGTGAGAAGCAGCACTCAACTGGTGAAAGATAAGTACTTGCGTCTGGCCTACCGGGCTGATCAAAAACACCCCCCTTTGGGAAAAAACCTCTCTCCCATTTACCTCCCCACTCCCTGCTCTGCACTGGGTCCAGGACCAGCTTCAGCAATTGCCATATCCCCTGGGCTGGAAGTAGGACACGTCACGAGCCCTGAGCTCCCAGCCTTGGAAAGTGAACAAATTAACAAACGGGAAAAAATAATCTCCCAGTAACTCAGGGTAGACACAGCTACTTTGCGTAGGCACAGACATAAGGGGTCCATGGACTATGAGTGCCTTTCCCCCTGCATAGACTTGTGTGGGCCCATTTGAACAGCATAGGATCTCATTACCACAGTACAACAGGGTATATACCTGAAGTCTGACT